AAGTGGAAGCAGCGGCGAGCGGGCAGACGCTGTGGGCGAGCTTGGAGGTGGCAGCAACCCTGCCGCTAGATTGGCGAGCAATTCGCTCATGAACTCGACAGTGACGCGCGAGAAGAGCGTCAAGACGGTTGACGAGCTGAGGAGGAGAGGCAGCGTCGATGAGCGCACCAGCTCCCTCAACACAACTGGACGGCTGTACATCGCCAACCCTGATTAAGAGAAGCAGGCATTGGTGGGCGGGGACGTGTCACTTTCGTTTACTGAAGATATCCTTTCCTTCCCGTTTTCTGGCTTTTACTTTGCATTATCCGGCGTTGGCAAGGGGGGGGGAGGGCGGAGGATGATACCATGCGAGTCGACCTGCCGAACTGACTACATTATGGTCACTTATTCTCATTACACACACATGTATACCTACAATCGCTCAACGTCTGATTTTTTGTTCTACAATGCTGCGCCTGCGGAACAAAAGTAGTGACCACAGTCAACCAAAACACCATAGTTTACGGTACTTGGGGAGGGTCGCGGGGTCTTCTTGCTGTGGCAATCGTCCATTGAGAATATTCATTGATGCACGATGCAAGCTCAGAGGAAGTCGTTCTCACGAACGCCACCTTTGGCACAGATTATTCTGGAACGCGATCAGTGCAACCACCAGCCAGAGAGACGCGCTTGTCTGCTTCGGGGACAGAGTGCTAGCGGTGTTGCCGACACCTTGAGGCTGTCTGCGGTCAGCTCCAGGTTAGAGGCGAGTCAGTGCTGCTGCACCCGCGCAGGCTACGTTGCATCAGGGCTTGAACTCTGTCGCCGCTTTGGGACGAGATTGTAAGCGTGGGCTGCGGGGAAGTTGGGTGGCTTGATTGAGGTCGAGGCATGAACTCTGTCTGGACCTCTTGAAGATCGTGTTCGTACTGCAATCTGGGTGAAATTGCCCGAGATACCTTGTTACCATGACCTGTAACATGTATGAAGAATATCGAAGTCTGATAGTTGGAGCCACGCGACCACAGATCTCAGGCCAGTCTCAAATGAGGGGCTCACTCGACCAGGGCTCGAACACTAGACTGCAAATGAGGGATCATACGCTCGTTCATGATATATATGTAGATACGATATAGGCACATCAAAGAAGCCAAGAAAAGTCAAATTCAGGAGCACCGCTATGTCTCGCATGCAATGAAACTGGCTGCTCACCGATTCTCACCCCTGCTTGTTACTTACCGGACTTCCCGGGTGTTGAGAGACCAAGGTCATCAACCTACCAAAGCGGAAGGAAGGGTCTTTCCCCACCTCTGAGCCACAGTCATAGCCACAGCTGCCACAAGTCCTGGGTCTGGTACACGGACCACTGTCAGCCCAAATGGTCAGACGCGACCCCGGCTGTGGAAGACGCCAGATGGACGCGTGTTTCGCGTCAAGGAGGCCAGGGTCATTATTGTTCCCTCATCAACGGCCAACCACTATAACGACGATACATCGACCAAGAGGCAGGACCGACTGCCAACCTTCAGCCAGTATCGTCGCCAAAGTACGAATGAACAGCAGGCTTTCTCATCATAGCCAGCAATTTCTGCTTTCTGCTTCGACCTGATACCCCCCTGTGTTTCTCCCTCATTCGACCTCCTGATCGCCGACAGTCTCGAACGAAGTCCAATCGATCACGCTCCATCAAACCTGATAACAGCCACGAACCAAAGCCAAACTCCAACAGCATTTCCAAATTCAAGCTCGAACAATTGTGCTACAGGCGCTGACGTTCGAATCGATCTTTCACCCTCAAGCGCCCATCAACCTCTCGCCCATACACGTGCTCGGTTGCGTGTGCAATATCTGATCCTATTTCCGATTTCAAAGCATACTGGAACGAGTCTGCCGAAATGCCGATCACCGACTTCTTCAGCGAGCGTCTGAAGGAGAGAGACCCGAACATCCTTAAGAGAAAGTCGGTCGAGATCTCCAACAGTGACGAACAAAACACCGTTCAGACATTATGCAGTGCCAGAGCCCGATCAAGGAGCTCTTCCCTCAGTTCTATCGCTAGCGACGATTTTGACCAACTCGAGAAAGGTGAGCGGTTCTTCGTTGGATCAATCGCCAGGTGCAGTGTACTGACTCCTGTCTCCTAGAAGCTTCATCGACCCCCAAGAAAGCCAGATTCCAGTCGTCACGCCTGACAGCAAGCCCCGGCTCCCTCACAGATGCTGACTCAAGTCGCAACTCTCCTTCCCCAAACCAAACACCAACAGATATATCGTCCTCTCATGATTCCAAGAAGCCAAAGATGGCTTCCATTGCTCCAGGCAAGACAGCCACCCCAACGAGCGCACCAAGCAAGCGCAAACGCATAACACCAGCCGAGAAGAAGGCACAAGAGGACGAAAAGGAGAAAAAACGAATTGAGCGAGAGGCGAAACGCCGCGACATCGAGGAGAAGAAGGCAAAGGCAGACGCAGAGAAGGAGGAAAAGAAAAAAGACCGCGATGCGAAGCGGCATAAAAAGGAAGAGGAGGCCCGCAAGGTCGAGGAGGAGAAGGCCAAGAAGGCGAGGGCACAGCCAAAGCTAAACATGTTCTTCAAGACGCCTGCCACTCCCAAGACGGAATCACCGGCATCTGAGACCGCCGTCAAGCCCGCCGTCGAACCAAAAGAGGATGGAGCCGAATCTCCACGACCAGCGAAAAAGCAGGCTACAAAGTCAGAGTACGAGAAACTCTTTAAGCCGTTTTTTGTAAAGACGGATGTTGTTATGGCTTCCAATCCCTTCGCTATGGATGAAGACGCGATCCAAACAAAATCTCGCCGACTCGATGAGTATATATCAGCAAACGACAAAGCCGCCACCAAAGTATCTTTCGACCCGGTGAATGTTTTCCAATTCGTCAAACAACCTGCAGCACGCGGCAGGATCCACGAGCCCGTTCAGTCTATTATCGAGAAAATGAGGGCGGCTGCAGCGCTCGCTGAGTCAAAAAGCAACATCGATGAGCAGGAGGCCATCAAGAAACAGACACGCGAGCGCCTTTCCAGGATTCCAATGAAGGTCCTCTGTTTCCAGACAGACGTGCGTCCACCATACCGAGGAACAATCACGCTCCAACCACACACTGCGGGGTTCCAGGCCGTGCGCAAGATTGCTCGCAAACCAACAGCTCGCGCAATGCCCGTCGACTACGACTATGATTCGGAGGCTGAATGGGTTGACGAGCCCGGCGAGGACCTTGACCTCGATGATGAGGAGGAAGAGGATCTGGATGAGGGTGACGAGGTAGCCGGCCTCATTGACGACAGTGATGCCGTCGAGCATACACGCTTCGCAGCCAGCACACTTGAGCCACAAAGCACCGGCCTCTGTTGGGAGAACCGCAAACGTCTCGGACCCGTCGCAACAACCTACAAGCACCGCTTGGAGTTCATCGTAGGCGGTACGATACCTTGTCCCCTGTACAGACCCTTCATTGAAACTAACGCATGTAACCAAGATCGACTGGAACGTAACCACGGACTAGACCCCTTCTCAACAGCCTATTGGGAGTCGGAGGCCCCAGCCAAGGCCAAGGCGCCTTTGGTCGACCCGACGGCAACAGCGGCCGCCGTCAAGGGCGACGAGGAGGCCACGAAGCAGGTGCTGGACGGAATCTCTGCCGCCGATCTCCTCAAGATCAAGAAGGCAATTGTGCGCAATTATGAGACGACGCCACGAATCTCTCGCCTCGGCATGCTGGAGACCCTCGCCGCTAGTGAGGTCGACGGGATCACGATCCGCGGCAAGAGCATCACGAGGCAGAAGGTGAAGCAGCTCCTCGACGTCATGACGGAGCGAACGGGCGGGAAGAAAAATGTGGCTGTGCAGTGGTCTCTGCGTCAGGGATTCGAGATTTGACGTGGCGCCGCCGGTAGCCCGTGTGTATATCAGGATGAGATGGGTCGGTGGAGTTTATGAACAAGACGGGCCGCTCGCCGCCACAGCACGCGCGAGCATGGCCCGTTTACATGATGATGGCTTGGAGTTTGGAGGTGATCTTAATCCGCCGCCGTCGTGGCTACGACTGGGCCTGAAGCCGCAATGGCTTTGAATGATGATATTCAACCTGTCCAAGGAGAGAACCTTGTTGGTGCAAGCGTGAACAAATATGGAGTGAGCCACAGCGTTCCAGCTCGCTTTCGAAACGTGCACACAAGAATGTTGCCACGAAGCTGCAAGAAAGGAATGGAACCCAAACGGGTGGAACTCAAAGCAGTATCATTCCCATATCGTCGTGTACTCAAACATTCTCTCACATGTCACTTCCAGCCCCCCCTCGCACAAGAAGAGAACCTACAGCGACCCCGCGAAATAAAATTCATCAAACCACCCCCGTCCATACAGCCGCAGATCCTCAAACGGGTTCCCCGGCGCCAACACCCTGCGCACGCCCGGCCCCTGGCCGCCTCCCCCTCTCGAGATCCACCCGGCGCTCGTCTCCGTAAAGGCCTGCCACCCCCTGAGAACGACCTTGAACTCGGGCGTGAAGGCCGGCAGGAGGACGACGCTGCTGCCGGTGCTACCGCTGCACCAGGGCCGGACTTCGACCTCGTCCCACGCCCAGAGGCCGTCTGGGCCGACGGGCAGGGAGACGGAGAGCTTGTGGGCGATGGAAGGGGGGATCCTGGTCCAGAGGTCACGAAACTGCGGGAGGAGGCGGCGCTGGATGGGTTCGTGGCCCGTCGAGCCAGAGGGAGATGCGGCGGAGGGCGGGCAGGGACGCCGGAGCGAGGGCGCCCCAGAGGGCGGGGCCGTGGATGTGGAGGAAGTCTGGGGCGCCGGCGCGGAGGGCAATGTTGAGGGTGCGGAGGCGCGGGAGGAAGGCGTAAACGGGGTGGATTGCGCGACGGTGGCGGCGGATGAACAGGGCGTAGAGGGTGTCCTTGTCGGTTATCGTGAGGGTCGTGGACTTGTGGAGGGACGGCAGGGACTCGATGTAGCTGTGGGAGGCAAGGGATTAGGCTCGTTGGTACGGTTTTGGCATGTGGCATATGGCAGTATGGCACGTGAGAATGCGACATGTGGTCGTGACGTGAGGGTGTCGGGCGGCAGGCAGTTTGAGACATGGGGCGTGGAGTGTGTGGCGAGGGGCACAGTTGATGGAAGATGGACCTACATTCTCTGGCACGACAGCAGCAAAGGGATGCAAGAAGAGAGCCCGTCTTGTTTCTCCTCTCCGCTGCCATTGGGCGTGCGTCTTTGACACATGGACTCTTGGCACTTCCAGTGGTTACACCACGACGATGTCATGCGGCCATACCATTTTGGATGATTCTGGACCCTCGGTCGTGGGTAGAAGTCGTGAGCGAGGCCCGTCTGGCAAGCGTCGTCAATGCTGTCATGGTCCGCCTCGCAGAGAGCGAACCGAAAGTCGCCGTCTTCAAGGTAGACATGGCGGTTGAGGCCGGCACACTGCCAGAACTCGGCAAAGATCTGTTGGCGGATTTCCAGAGGCAGCTTGCGGAAGAACGAGGACTGGCCCTGGTTGTGTGGTGCTTGTTTGTGCCGAGGACTTGCTGTATATGTTTCTGATGGTGTGACAGAGGTTGCGGCGGAGTAAGTAGACGGACTGGACCTCAGGGAGTGTGAAGAAGAGCAGGCATCCGAATCCTCGGGGGATGAAATACCCCAAGCGGACTCTGGGAGGGACGTCAAGCTGATCGTAGAACTTCTCTTCGCTTCGGTCTCAGCAATGCGTTCCGCGATTGCTCGACGCCTACAGGCTGATCTTTGAGCACGGATGAAATTCCGGGCCTTTTGTGATACGGCCTGGTACCGCGAGGAGTTGGTGGTGGCCATACTGCTGCGTAAAGGGCGTAGTAACGGGTGAAGTACAGCTCAACGGAACGGAAGACGCAAGGCGACTCGGGCACGAAGCTATCCAAATCAAGTTATGGCCAAGGCAGCATGTATCAAAGGGACCTCCAGGGTATGAAGAGGAGAACGAGGGAGTTCAAAGTGGACATTGAGGGACATCCAGAAGGTCTTCTTTGGCTCAGGGAGGCGGACGCCAACACCATATAAAGCCAACAAGGTGTACGCCGCCCCCGAGCGTCTCATATTGAGAGCACGAGGTGGACGCCTGAAGAGGATGTGGAGAGTTGGCCAGAAGCTTTGGTGCGTTGCAATACAACGTCTTGGAAGCTGCTAAGATATGGGCTATTTCCTGGCGCATGTCGACGTGAGTGAGGCCAGACTCAAGGTTATCCGATCAGGTGTGCTCCTTCTCAGGCATAACGAATGTGCTCCAACATGGTATCCCATGGGATGGTACCCCATGTGCCTCTCTCCCTCTTGGTATGCATCGTGCTCACGCGAAAAAAAATAACTCCTTGGACAATCTTCGGCGAGTATCCTCATGGGCTCGGAATCCGCTTGCAGGATGTGGTCCAGCACGACGGCGCAGCCTTTGCTGTGTAAACCCCGTCCCAGGCTGTTGGTTCCAGCTACTAGATCGCGCCCAACCAGCGGCCAGCTCAGGCACCAACTCGCCCGTTCTGGACAGGCGTTCCTCTGCACGGCTCGACTCCACAGAGGCCTGCAGGCCAGTCGGAAGGGCTCACGGTGATCGGCGGTAGAGGCTGAGTGGCCGATCCAGGATGCGCGTATGCTGGGTTTGATCCAAATGCGACACTTGTGATGCGGCATCCTGACAGCGTCACGCGGCACAGGTGGTCAAGGTGTGGCCACCCCCAGACGCCGTCTCGTCCCTCGCACGGGTAGCGAAGGCCTAGATTCCGCGCCAACTGGCACAGGTGGCTTGCGGGCGCATCGTGTTTGAGACCGGCGTGATTTCTCTTGCCGAATCCCTCCTTCCTCCATGGCGATTCCCCGCGCGCGTCGGACAGTATCGAAGCCAAGAAGATGGGCTTGCGTGATCGATTTTCGACTTGGCAAAGAGGCGAGATTGTGCGAGGGACGGTCCGAGGCCAAGGCGAGCGGGTTCCTGCCAGTCGACTGTCAGCTCGCCATCAGAGTTTCTCTACACAGGTCGATCCTTTGCGGCTGGTGTCTCATCATGGGGACTTGTTCACGAGGTGACTCGTGTAAGCTTAAATTTCAGTGTATGGCATGTCTCAGGCATACGGTGTACTCGACATGAAGCCAGCTGAATAGGGTCCGCAGACGACCTGGCGGACCCGGCAGAGACGGCGGACGGGACTGCAGCCACAACCGATCGAGGTCACTCGTCCAGGCGAATGTGACCGTCAGGATCTAGGCATCTGATGCGGAACGTGCATGGTAACGATGCATGGTAATCAATAAGAGTCTTCAGGCGGACTTGCACCAACAGCGAAAGGCCGCGGTTGGTGATCAGTTCGGGGGTTGCAGAACCAGGTTGCCACTTGGGCTGCTCAGGTCTGTGTTGGCCAGTGTTCCAGTGGCAGGGAGCCAGGTTGCCACTTGGGCTGCTCAGGTCTGTGTTGGCCAGTGTTCCAGTGGCAGGGAGCCATGTTGCATCGACATGGGACTGCGGTGGAAGGAGCTGGAACCAGCCGATAGGCAGCACCGGCATCGAGTCAAGCCTTTGGAAAAGAAATCCTGTAAGCAGCGTGTCGAAGATCTGCTGTCACCACAAAGGCAAAACCGTTCTCTCGTATACCATCCTCTCCGAGGAGAAAGACGAGATGAGGAGACGAGAAGCGATGAGTATCAACGGCATACCAAGACATGGGGGGGGGATGCTGTTGGTGATATCGGATGATGAAGTGTGACAGCTGCAGGAGGCATTGTTGACGCACGGAGGCGGTCGTGCCATGCCACGGAGAGCACTATGTCGACGATGCACGAGACGATATGTATGCTTGTGATGGAATGCCGGGCAGACGACTGGGCTGGGGGTCCATGGTGATGGTGCTCGAGAGATTGCAGGAGGGAGGTTTTGTTCACTTGGTGAGGTACCTACTGAGGCAGCAGTGGGTGGGCAGTGGGTGTCGATTTCCTGAGGTGCTTCGAGCGCAGAGGAGGGAAAGCTCCTGGCGCCCAATGAGAAGCTGCCTAAGCGCGCTACAAACCTCGGTCTGATTTGCTCATTGGTCGCCGCCGGATCTGCACATCACTGGTCAAGCAACACGCGGGGGCCCTGTCCGCGGCCGGGCCCTACCCAATCCCCTTCTGTAGAGGCCAAGACGTCAGTGCCCGTCACCGTCCACTATCGGCAAACAATTTCATGGCCCTGCCGCTTGTTTGCCCATTGCTTCTGCGTTTGTCTCTGGCTGTCTCTGCTTCATGCTGTCGATCATGGATGATCTCTGATTTTCTGGAACCGTGTTTTGTTCTGTTTCGTTCGAGGGGTTCCCTGGTGCGGGCCACCCAGGTTACAGGGTATTTCATCTACCTACCTACGGAGGTACCTACCTACCTAGGTACCTAGGCACCTAGGGAGCTCAAGCTCTCAGAAGTCGTGGCTTCCCCCCCCACCTTCGTGACCACCCCAACGCCTTTTCCCATCGCGGCGCACCTTCAACTTCTTGGTCTGCATTTCTGCTGACCACCAGCCGGGTCGTTTTCCTCCTCCTCCTCCTTCTCTGCCACCCCTCCCCACCATCGTTGGCCGGAACGCACGTCGACCGCGATCCTTCGCTCTGTTGGTCCTTCGACAACCGTGCGCGCCCAGCACCCCATGGCGCCCGGTACGCCTTATCCGATTCTTTCTCGACAGCCATCTTGACTTCGACTGCTGTAGCATTGATCCTACGTCATGAAGTTCGCGAAGGAGCTCGACCAGGACCTTGTCCCTGGTGAGACATGACCTCTCAACATGATTCCTTGGCCTGCCCTATCCTCATGCTCTGCTGCTGCCCTACGTGCCGTCACCTGAATTTTCTCACATGTGCACACATCGTTGACGATGCCGTCTGAATTCCGACTAATTTGTCTGTCGCACAGAATGGCGCGTCAAGTACCTCGATTACAAAGGCGGCAAGAAGAAAATCAAGGCCGTCTCGCGCGCCTTTAGTCGCGCGCCCCCGACGCCCGCCAACGGCAAGTCCAGCAGCGACGCGCAACCCAACCCAGCGAGACTCGATACCGACCAACACGTCTCGACGTCTCCCTTTTCGTTTCACGCCATTCGACGATGGAGCCATTCCCAGGGCGGCCACGTGCCCGACGAGGTGGCTATCCTGAGGGGCAACTCGGTGCGAAGCACAGCAAAACCGACCTCGGCCGCGGGCCGTGCCATCCCCACGAGCAGGCACGAACGTGATGGCCTCACGGCTGCTGCCAACGACATGCACTACGGCAGCTTTGGCCTGACACCGCCCTTGTCCACGACACCGAACCAAGCCGACCACCGGAACACGTTTGAGCTGCCTGCTCCCGCCATCAAAGTCCCTTCTAACACCTCGGAGCATCTGGCTCTTCCCGATGGGCCACGGCACCACTTTCCCGCTGCCAGAAGACTGAAACGAAGCGCATCCGAGGCGCCGCCGCCTAGCATGGCAGAACCGCCAGCCCGAAGACCACAGACTGGGACTGGGACGGGGACGGGGACGGGGACCGGAACTGGTACCCCCCGTGTCCCGCCAAATAACACCCTCGGACCAGACTTGACGCCGCAACGGGGCAGTTTGCGCCGCATGCTGTCTCATGCCCTGCCCAGAACGCGGGCGCAGCGGTCAGCGCCGGACATAGTAATGCAGGCAATGGCCCTGGATGTGTACCAGCAGAAGGAGCGTGAGTTCTTCGAATTTTTGTCGTCCGAGCTGGAAAAGGTTGAGTCATTCTACAAGATGAAGGAGGACCAGGCCGCCGACAGACTGGCCGTGCTGAAGGAGCAGCTGCGCGAGATGCGAAACCGGCGAGCCTACGAACTCAACGAGGAGCGGCGCAAGAGGAAACAGGGGGCTCACGACGTCATGGCCGACGAAAATGGACATCGCATCCTGAGCGACCACGGCTACCTCGACCAGGTCAAACACAAAATCTTCAAGCCCGGTCCCAACTCACGGGCCATGTCGAACATGGCGCAGACCCCAGTCATCGGTGGAGTGACCGGCCCAGACGACAGACGAGATTACATTCGTCGGCCGGCGCAGGACCAAGTGTCGTACAAGACGGCGAAGCGTAAGCTCAAGCTCGCTCTGCAGGAGTTCTACCGCGGCCTCGAGCTCCTCAAGTCATACGCCCTGCTCAACCGCACCGCCTTTCGCAAGCTCAACAAGAAATATGACAAGGCCGTCAACGCCCGGCCGCCGTACCGCTTCATGACGGAAAAGGTCAACAAGGCCTGGTTCGTCAACAGCGACGCGCTCGAGGGTCACATCAAGACGGTCGAAGACATGTACGCGCAGTATTTTGAGCGCGGCAACCACAAGATCGCCGCCGGCAAGCTGAAGAGTCTCATCAAGCGGAAGGGCGATGAGTCGGGGAGTGCCTTCAGGAGTGGCATCCTCATCGGCACCGGCGTCGTGTTCGCCGTGCAGGGCCTCACTTTTGCGGCCCAACTGCTGCTCCACGAGGAGGAGAGTGTGCGACAGGAGACCAGCTTCCTGATGCAGATCTACGGCGGCTACTTCCTGATGCTGTTCATGTTTGGCCTTTTCGTCCTGAACTGCTGGATGTGGACGGTGAACAAGATCAACTACCCCTTCATCTTTGAGTTTGATCAGCGGCATCACCTTGACTGGCGGCAGCTGGCTGAGTTTCCGAGCTTCTTTCTGCTGCTGCTCGGCATTTTCATCTGGCTTAATTTCAGTCGGTACGGCTCTGATGATGTGTTCCTCTACTATCCCGTGGTGCTCATTGGCATTTCGGCCCTCATCATCCTGTTTCCTGCTCGCGTCCTTGCACCGACCAGCAGGAAGTGGTTCGCATACGCACATGTACGTTTTCTCGGCTGACGCGCCGCAAGCCCCATGCTGACAAGTAAATAGTGGCGGCTTCTTCTTGCAGGATTCTATCCTGTCGAGTTCCGTGATTTCTTCCTCGGCGACATCTACTGCTCTCTCACCTATGCCGTCTGCGTACGTTCAACGACACCCTCCCCAGCGCGTGCCTACTCCAAACTGACAGCCTCAGAATGTGTCACTTTTCTTCTGCCTCTATGCGAACCACTGGATGAACCGAAGCAGTGCAACTCGAGCCA